ATTTCTAGTCGTGTCCTCTTTTGGAAGGCCAAACGACGAAGGAGCGTCCGGAGGGCTTGCGGCAACCACATGTGATGACCCCGGGACTACGCTTCGTCCACGGTGAAAGCCGATCCGGCAATCCACAGCACGAAGTTGATGTATTTCCACAGCGACCAGCACGGATCAGCTCCAGGCATGATGAAGCAGATATCGGCCTCTTTTGGAAGGCCAAACAAAGTAGTTTTGCTTTCACAACAAAACACAGCACCTTCACGACATGGCGGCGGCGGCAACAATACTACAGCGAGAATAAAAGTTACGCCTTCTTTCTTTGCGTGAACATTTGGGCGGCATTATGCAAATCTTCCCACATAGTGAGGTAGATATGTGGGGGCATGTTAGAACGAGCCGTTTTAGGTAGGCGTGGTTGACTCTTAACTTTTATAAAGAATATCTCTTTGGATTTGAGACTTTAGTCTTTGCAACTTTACAGATCTTCTTTATGTACCAAGAGCTTGTAACACTCCAAAGAGAAAGGAAAAATTGAAATAGCATCATATGACCCCTATAAACATTACTTAACAAGGAGTTACGGAAGTAGAACACTATTACCACTAAGGGGTATTAAACATTTTATAATCATAAATAAATGTTCTTAAAAATTATTTTCATATCAAGCATTAGACATTTTAAGGGGGCAAACATTTATACACCGCTTATTTAGAGGTCATGACACAATGACAAACATTTACATAAAAAAACACAAAATTAATCTCAAACAAAACTTGCACATCACTGACTTACTGCAATAGAAACAGCACTGGTGACGGCACCCACATATCCCTGAATAAACTTTGAGGTTGGTGTTGGCTAAACATAAAATTGGGGGAAAAAACAATTATCAACATCCAGGTGCAGCAAATGTACCACAGACCATTGTGCAATGAAAAAACACTCAGAGGTCGTGAACCACAGTCAGATGCAGAACAGATGTCTGGCCTTCAGGACACAACAATGATCATTCAAATGGAATCGAGTAGAAGGAACGCTTCACTGAATGACCATCTGCAGCTGCATTGCAATAGTTAAACCTCAAAAACCTGACCTGATTTAAAAGAACGTTTCTGACTGTACCTTTGTGGCATTGCGGTTGGCGTAGTTCACACAAGCGTTGTGACTCTGGTTAAGCCACTGCAGGAGAGAAATTCCTGATTAGCCTGACAATCACTTTAATTATTGGTTAATTATTGTTGAATTCCTCTTTCAAATAATGATGATTGATTTTATTTTCTATGAAGTCAGCTTCTGGTAAAAGTCAAATATATATACAGGAAATCTAATTTAGTCTGATATATATTTCTAACTGTAAAACAGAGGCTGTTGGGATACTGACGATGCAGAGCCAGCCTTTAGGCTTCCTGGCACTGAGGCACTCAAATGATGGGAACAAGCCACTCTACCTGCCAGAACACCGTAGAGGCCAAAGTCTGGTTTGGAAGGAGAAGACCAACAACCTGCAAGAGAGTATACAGCATGCTGGGTATACAGCAATACGCTGGTTAATAATTTACACCCATCTATAGAAACAAAGGTTTATTACAGACTTTAGAAACTCAATACAGATTTCAACACCTCTTATGCTTAGAGGATTTGGATGT